CCCCCCCCCAAAAAAAAAAAATAATTAAAAAAATGGACGAGCGCCTGATTCCACTGCATCATCTCTCAAATGTTTCAGCATGTGTATGGGAACCCGACCAACATGGTGTCGGAAATGTCCGGACTGCGAGAAACTGAGACTGATAGCAGAATGTGTTGTCAATTAATTTATTTTCCTTTTCTTCAGCGTTTAAGTTCTTTACACTTTATTCGTTTCGCAAGTTCCAGGCTTGCATGATTGGAATTTATTTTAAAAAACAAACTACATCTAGGTTATCGTGTTTTACTATCGTATCCATACGAATTGGGAACAGCAATACGTGGAATAATTATGTTAAATGAGTTCAAATTGCAAACCACAAATAAACAAAGAGCGATATTAACACAATGCCAGGCCTTGTAGGACTATGTTCGTCTTTGATGCTTCATTGTCTTCAGGGAAATCTGTTGGGTGGAAGGCTTACTGGCTACCTTCGCATTTGTTTTAGTTGTTCTGAGAAAATAAAGGTGAAAAAAAGTCAATCAATAGATTAAAAAAAAGTTGTAGGCCTACCTTTCTTTAATTTATTCATCAGCAGTTCTTTTTTTTTATGTAAGCGTGTTTACGCCCCCTTCTACACAATTTAGACCATTTAGAAAGCAGGATTCCTACTCTGACTGTCAATCATTTAGAAAGCAGGATTCCTACTCTGACTGTCAATCATTCAGGAAGCAGGATTCCCACCCTGACTGTCAATCATTCAGGAAGCAGGATTCCCACCCTGACTGTCAATCATTCAGGAAGCAGGATTCCTACTCTGACTGTCAATCATTCAGGAAGCAGGATTCCCACCCTGACTGTCAATCATTCAGGAAGCAGGATTCCCACCCTGACTGTCAATCATTCAGGAAGCAGGATTCCCACCCTGACTGTCAATCATTCAGGAAGCAGGATTCCCACCCTGACTGTCAATCATTCATGAAGCAGGATTTCCACCCTGACTGTCAATCATTCTGGAAGCAGGATTCCTACTCTGACTGTCAATCATTCAGGAAGCAAGATTCCCACTCTGACTGTCAATCATTCAGGTAGCAGGATTCCCACTCTGACTGTCAATCATTCAGGAAGCAGGATTCCCACTCTGTCAGGACCATCCAGGGCTGAGTGAGATACGACATCCCAGGAGAGAGACCGATACATGTAGGCCTACTCGATAAAACTTCTCCCTACTCGGGAATCGAACGAACT